TATAATATTGCAAAGAATTGGTTTTAGCCAGGGCAGCCTTCTTTTGGAGTGCATTTCATGTCCACTCTTTCCACATGTTTACAACTGGCTAACTTTGGTTAATTTATGCTAGATCAGTAAATCGTTTTCCTTTGTTTTGCTGGTTTATTATTTGATGAATATGATTTTACCAAATCCTCTGTTATCTCTGATATATTTGAAGCAGTGAAGTTTAATATGTGCAACTTTGTTCACGAACTGTTGAAATCTGGCTAATACTGTGTTATGACATCACCTTACAGCTTAAATCCCGAATCACCAGTAGAAAGCGGAAATCTGACGGCTGAGAAACTCCTCACTCCTGAAGAATATGATGTCCAATTTCTTTCAAGTCATGGAGCAAAGAGCATAAAAAGTTTCATTCCAAGAAGCCAAATGATATTCAAGTAGAATCACAGCAAGGGAGTAAGCAGAGCAATGAAGTTGCATTCATGACGGCTGGGACAGCAAGTATTTGTTGTATATATCAAGTACGAACACAGAGAGAGAGAGAGAGAGCTTTTTGATCAGCTATTTCCCATATGTAAAATATGATTCTTCTCCGGCAGAAGTCATAGTTCAATTGGATATTGAACAAAAGTATTTCTTTCGCGTATCTTTGTTTATGAATGGATTTTCCATTTCCCCAGTCACCCAATACATTCAAAACTTTACCCATTTGGAACTCCTCCAGCTCAAGCGCATGTGTTTTTATGGGCATTTTGAAATCAAATAAAAAAGTGGGTAAAGCGTTAAACTATTTCTCTCTTATGAGTAATTTGATAAACTTCTTTTTTTTTTTTAATTTCGTTTGAACCACTTAAGTGGGTAGAATTATTACAATGCAATTGTTGTTTAGGATTCCCAATGAACAAGGGCAATTTAAGAGTTATTTGAAAAAAAATTGTTATGGATGTCCTCGTATTGAAAGGAAAATAAAAAAGTAAAAGTAGTGTTTGAAAAATTAGACCGCTTGGGTGAATAACCTTCTGAATATTTGGTTTGGAAGTTTGGATTGGCAAATCACTTTGATTCTACAATGTGAAAAGAGGTTCTTCATCATTATTATCATCCTAGCTTTATCCCAACTATTTGGGATTGGCTGCATAAATCTTGTTCCGTCATTCTACTTGATTAAAGGTTACACCTTTAGGTAGAATATAAATCACTATTTTTTAAACAAATACAAAAAAAAACAAAAAAGCAACATAATAATAAAAAGCGTGTGGTTTGCTAAACAATCAAATTAGAGCCTACCTTCAAATAGTGTTGAGAAATGTGCTTTTAATATTGGAAATCTTTGTGATAGCTTTAAAATATATTTTTATCTTTATTTATGAAGTTTAGAGCTTCAAAAATAATGTTGATCGATAGATCTATGAAAACTTGAAATGCACTATTCTCAAAACTTGAAATCCATTTTTTTCTCATGTCCATGTATCTTGATGTTGAGATGATCAATTTGAAGATATTTGAATATCAAAACAATCTCTTTTAGTGAAAATTTTGATGTAGGCTCAAATTTGATTGTTTAGAGCATGGGTTCTCTAAAATTTTTCCCTAATAAAAATGTTAGGAGTTACTAATTTTTTAGAGTCACCGAGTTTTGAAATTCAAAACTATTTGGACTTCTCAAGTTTGGAATTCAAACTATTAGGAGTTACCGATTTTGAAATTCTAAACTCGAATTATCAAGTTTTGAAATTGAATTTTTTTATTGAATATTGTACAATTGTTAATATTTGGTTTGATATATCCCTACAAATCAAGGGATTGTAACTCCTTGTATATCTACATATACACCCACGACTGTGTAGTAGATTATGAAATTCAAATTCTACAAAACTTAACAAAAGAAATACAATTGGTGGAAGTAGGCAATCGGCTGATGCAAATGTCCTGATAGGCCCACCCAATTTTTTTGTCAGACCTAGATAAAATCATTCGATTCGGACCAATTTTAAGTTTCGAGTAGGGATTAATTCCTAATCCAGTATAAATCATCGCTTGAAAGTAATCCACTTGCAACTTGAGAGGGAATGGCTGGTTTGTTAACTTTATTGTTGGAATTTCACCTCATTGTTGTCAAAGACATTTCCTTTTCAACAGGTACAAAGTTTGACTATCGATAACACTACAATTAACCTCATCACTAAAGCGTTTGGAACACTGTTGTCAGATTTATTTTGCTTCGACCGAAATTCGGAATTTAGGCCGAAGCAAAGTGAAGGCGGCTGCTTCGGTTATATTAGGGCCGCTTCAGTCTATTTCAGGCCGTTCGGCTTTTTTGACTGAGCAAATAAATATCTATGTAATAGCATTTATATTTTTCTGAAATTTTTATTTTTATTTCTTATTAATTTTATATATTTTTGTATATACAATTATAAATATCTAATTTATTTACATTTAATTAAAAAATAAAATAAAATCTTTCCTCAAATCGACTAAAGCTCCGAAGTGTTTCATTTTTCTCACCAAACCGAAAAAACTCTGAAACGAATATGAAAACATTGGTTTGGGTGAAATAAGTCCAATCCAATGTTTTAAAAAACAGATTGGTAATGGGAATCGTCTATCTCGGATCCCCACTTGGATTTGCTAGATCGACGATCTAGATCATTCTCTGATCACTTGGAATGGTGATCCAAAAAAGTTAAAAAAATAAATGCAATAAAATAAAAACTAAAATAGAGATTTATTGGGTGGGGATTTAGGGAGGAACAAATACAGCATTAGATAAACTTAAAAAAAAGAAAAAAGAAAAAAGAAAAAAAAGGATTCTAGGGAGAGCCGGTTTGGGACCCATACCACAAAAAAACCAGTTCCGTCTCGATCAATCCCTCATCCGAATTGGCAATCCATATTGGGAATCATGGAGATTTAAAACACTGGTCCAATCTAATGCTGTCAAAAAAATTAAAAAAAAACGAGAAAAGAAATTAAACTAAAAAAAAAGCATTAATATTTCCAGTCAGAAAACATATTTAAATCTAGTTAAAGTGTAAACAATCATTTATATATCCGATTGTATTTTAAAACAAATGCTTTAAACTTCAAATTTAAGACTATCGAAATTTCTCAATGCCAAACATAGCAGACAAAATTTTTAAAGCGAAGTTCCGTTTGAATCAAATTAAGTAAAATGGTTTGTAGATCAATGAGAGAAACAATTTGGGACAAATTTGACAAACTTTGGTCTAAAAATAAGAAAAATAGATGGTCTTCAATTTTAGTTTAAAAAACTGCCCAAACTCTGGATTCATGATCTCTTCATGGTTTTCAATGAGGAACATGATTGTAAAGATCTGAAAGAGCGCTTAAAAATGAAAACTTTTGCACTAGTTTAGTGATCACAATGAGGATGAAGAATGGAGAGATTTTATGGCCAAAAAAGCCCCCACCTCCCAACCACACACACACAACTGTTATTCCATCTATTGTGAAGCAATGGTTATTTTTGAGAAAATTACATAAATATCTATTATATTTCTCATTATCATAAAAATACCTTAAACTTTCAGTTAATAGTTATTACACAGGTGTTTGTTTTCTCAACTTCATAACACTTTTTTAAGATGAAATTGCCCACTTTTGGTCTTTTAAAAACTGAAATTTTTTTAATTTCCAGTTTTTGAAAATCAAAAACCAAAAATTTAATTTTTTTTTAAATCCAAATTTGTTTTTATTTTTTTGGTTTTTGAAACTCTAGCTGTCTCTACCCTTCTTCTACCAAAGTCTTCTTTTTCACTAACTTTCTCTGCAAATCCGGCTTCTTCTTCTTCTTCTGTATATTCAAGCTCTTCTTTTTGTTGACCTAATCAAAACCACTGTTTTCAATATCATTTTATTTGGGTTTATGAATGTAAATAGAAAAAGTTAAGTTTTGGTGAATGGAAGTTTTTTGGGGAGGTTTGGGAGAGGAGAGAAGTACTCATCTGAAAGAGATTAGAAAACTTCCTATGGTATCCTTTCTCTCTACAACGCCACAAGTATACCCCAAGCTTTGCCTTACTATCAGTATTCAGAAACCGGAAGTACTCTTGCTTAATCATATGCCCTTCCAACAATGGATCAAATGAGCACCTGTAAAAGCTGTAAATAAAAGGAAAAAAACAAAAATAATAATAAAACCATTTGACAAATGACATGAGATTGAAAGCAAGGCCCAACAAAACCATTCAACAATTTACTCTTTCTCCTCTCCCAAACCTCCCCAAAAAAAACTCCACTCACCAAAACTGAACTTTCTCTATTTACATTCATAAACGCAAATAAAATGAGGTTGAGGCAGTGGTTTTGATTGGGTAAGAGCTTGAATCTACAAGAGGATTTGTAGAGAAACTTGCCGAGGAAGAAGACTTCAGTAGAAAAAGGATAGAGAGAGTTTCAAAAACAAAAATAAAAAAACAAAATCGGTTTTTCATAAACCAAAAATTAAAAAAATTTACGTTATTCAAAAACCAAAAATGGGCAGTTTGGTTTGTTAGAAAAATTGTTAAGAAGTTGAAAAAATAGTCTTATGTGTAATAACCGAAAGTTTCAGGTATTTTTGTGAAATATAATAGATATTTATGTAATTTTTCCCTTTTATGTCAAAACCTCTTACTAAATCATTAAAGAAGTGAAAATATCCATTTCAATATTGAAATGTTTATTTTTTAACTTTCATTTCACTCAGGTATGTCCTCAAAATATATATGCGTTAGGGGGCACATTTTTACATTTGTGTCCCCTAAGGCATAAACCATCCATCGTCGTCCCTGCAAAAAAAATTAAAACCAACTAATATTTTCTTTCAAAAAATCATAATTTTTACTTTTAAATTTATTCATTTTTACATACTAATGATATCCATGTTAGAGATTATATATTTCTTAAAAATCAAGGCTAAAATTTACTTTAAAAATGTATTATGAAGAGGGGGCGCACTTCCACAAGTGTGTCCAAGGACTCATAGAAACCACGCCCATAAGATATCCAATTTTTCCTTATTTAGGGTTGGGAATCTAAAAAAGGGGTTTTAATAATTGATCCATTCTAAATAAGAAGGGTAATTGTGTAATTTAGCTGAAGCTGTTCGTTGGGTCAAATTATTCGAATGCCTCCTATGTTCATTGTTCTTAATTTTGAATATGGACAATATGGATATTTTCAAAATGTTGGTACAAATTCAAAGGTAAACTATGGGTAGTTAAGTAGAAATAGAACGCAAGATGTCATGCCGTGACATCCTGTCATACGGACCACCTAGCCTTGAGGCCATTCTTAATTATTTTATAATAATTTTGTAATTAACCTCTTAAATGATATAATTCCCCATTTGAAAAATCTCTAGGGGTTCATTAACTATTCCTAAGGCATTTATAGGTTTTAAGGTGAGAAAAAAAGCCAAATTTAAAATGGGTTGTCTACAGGGTATCTACACTAGTGCACTATTCACATGCCTATTGGGTGTATTTTTAGTCATAATATAAGGCTAAATGTACTTAAAGAAAATTACTTACAAGCTCAAGGCTGTAACGCAGGAAATAAGTAATCAGACACCAAGTCTATATACCTTGGCAGACGACGGCTCACTATATAAACCCAATGGATATCATTATTGAAAAATATTCACAAGGCATGCTCTTTGGTATAATAGTGCAATATAATGTGTTGATGACTCATTTTATAAAGGCCCTATATGCCTTAAGATCACAATCATCGGGCAATACATATACCTTAGCTAACAACAA